AATATAATATAATATAATAATATAATATAATATAATAATATAATAATATAATATAATATAATATAATATAATATAATATAATATAATATAATATAATATAATGACTATATCAGTTATCCAAATCACACTTATAAACCTTTTTTTTTTACAATTAAAAAATAAACAGGTATCAAGTTAATTCAATGGTCCCTTTAACGCATTTTGTTGAATTTTAATGCCAACTAATTCTGATTAGATTATAAGTAGATTGTTAATTTAGGTTTAGGGTTAATTTTAGTTGACTTGTACTTGCAAAGTTTCTTATAGTGAGTTAAATGTCTGTTGAAGGAGCAGTATCAACAGATATAAGCAGACAGTCTACTAATACTCAATTGGACCATCCGTTTATTTTATATATTACAGTTGTTTTGTATATGAGGAATTTCTATGTAATTTACAAACACTAAATAAGCAAGGTTAGCTGTTTTGCCATATTACGCTGAACTGTAATTAATGGATAAAAAGCCTCCAAATGAAATGATTTTTTGGATACATATGCAAATACAGATGCCAAATTCAAAGTAAAGTTATAGAAAGGTGTACTATCAAAATAAACGTTAACAGTTACTCATTCATTACTGGCATGTTATTCAAAGTTTATATGTCTCATAAATAAATAAATTAATTAATATTGACCTTTCATAGCCGTTTGATTGAACGCTTAAAACTTGACTCCTCAACTTTTCTTATATACATATATATAGTTGAAGTCGGAATTAATAGCCCCCCTTTAAGTTTTTTTTTTCTTTTTTAAATATTTCCCAAATTATGTTTAACAGAGAAATGAAATTTTCACAGTATGTCTGATAATATTTTTTCTTCTGGAGAAAGTCTTATTTGTTTAATTTTGGNTAGAATAAAAGTAGTTTTATATTTTTTTATGAAATATTTTAAGGTTAAAATTATTAGCCCCTTTAAGCTATTTTTTCGATAGTCTACAGAATAAACCATCATTATACAATAACTTGCCTGATTACCCTAACCTGCCTAGTTAACCTAATAAAGCCTTTAAATGTCACTTCTGTATAGAAGTGTCTTGAAAAATATCTAGTAAAATATTATTAACTGTCATCATGGCAAAGATAAAAATTGCTCCATTAAACAAGAATTGGGGAAAAAATAATCAGGGGCTAATAATTCTGACTTTAACAGTATATATACATATATATATATATATATATATATATATA